CCACATGTATTTTATTTATGTCGTGGACAATTGCCATTGACATTCCAGATGAAGATGACAACAACTCAAATAAGTAAGAAACGTTTTTCTGTACTTGGAGAAAATTTAATTTTACTTGATATGTATTCACACATAAACGATAACATATTTTGTAAAAAAAAACTATTATTTACTGTATATTATTAGATACTTAAGAATACTCGTATATTTTACCATATAGAATTGAGAAAATTAGGTTTAATTAAAATTATAAAATAATTATTAATTTAAATCATGTTCATGTAGGTAATATAAACATGCATGCACAGTAAATAATACAAAATGAATATAATATCTACCCATCACATCAAACCAAATTAAATACTAATAACAGTAATAACTTTATTAAAGATCACAATATTATATATTTTTTTAACATAACACAAAACACAGGCMGTAATATAATAMAATTTTTATATAAAACAACTAAACCATAATTTCAATAATCTAATCTCAACATGTAAAATACGGATAAAGGTTTTATTACATTATTACAGAAAAAGTTATTACTGATGTAGTGATGCCGTCTTTTTAAGGCATTAAATATCAATATAATTGTAGTGACCAAAATTAATATAACTATAATATAACTATATTAATTTTGTTAATGGAACTCGATAACAAGTAATAACATTAAATCTAATTTTTAGTAAAATGTATGCCAAATATAATTTACGGTACAATATAAATACTTTTAACTTCACATTGGTATATGATGTATATAAATGACTAATGCAATGAAAACATAAATCTTATTGTAAAAAAAAACTATATATTTTTTAAATTATTTGATATAAATATAATATAAAGTCTAATGGCTAATAAGTAATRAATTAGTACCAATATATACTATGTATAGTGTATATATCTAATGTTATCATAATTGTAAGACATTGATGAAAGGTTTTACTTTATTTATATACTGAATCAGCTGCATGTTACTTGTGTCCCAAAAAAAATAAATATTTTTCAGGTAGTAAATTTGACTGGTAAGTTGCGTCCCTTTTTGGGGGACGCAAGTCAGCCATATTATTATCATCGATATTATCTTCAAAAATCATTAAAATCGACAGTATCATGTAAGGAAAATACTTTTTTACMGGCCAACTATTTGTTGGGAGATTAGGGGCAACTGTCAAGTGTRCCATACTGAAGATAGTAATTTTTTTTAGTATTTTAAAGGGTAGTCTACTGTAATCATGTGTTATTATAAAATCAACCTTTAACAATAAAATGTAATAATAAAAATAATAATAATAATGGAATAACAATAGTATTACTTTACATATAAATATTACATAATAAAATGTTAGTAATTATTTTTTATTTGAATAAATTCTAAAAAAATTCCGTGGTCAACAAATGGATTATCTGATGTGTATGCTGCTTMGAATTGATTTCCTCTAAAACTCAATCCACGTTTTCCTATAAGTTTAACAGCTTCAATCACTCTTGTAACATTTTCGCAGTTTTTTTTATTTCTTTTTTAGTTTCACAGAAAAGTAGTGAACCAAAATCATGTTGATTTGAATGGAGAAAAAAAGCTGATACACAATTTTTATGTACTGTGCTTTTATCATGTTCATCAATTCGAATATAAGTATGACTCCCTACATCTAAGCCTTTAGTAAAATTATTACTTTCTGAAGAAAATGCAAGACACAAATAGCAGAATAATTGTTTTGRATTTTTATTGTAGGTTAACCATTTTCGTTCAGAGCCATTACTTCTAAGTTCTAAAGAAAGCTTTTTGAAAAGCTGTGTAATTTCATGTTTCTTGAATATATTATCTAGAGGGCYAAAATTAGAAAAATTACACATTGATCAGTTTAATAATTTACAAACTACAATATAATTACAAAAAGTGAGATTGATCCTTTTAGACCCGAGCCACAGAATTTTAATTAATATTATTTTTGTCTATGTGCCTTTGTATGCTAACTAAAATTGTTTCCAAAATTAAAAAAAAACTTACTAGGTACAACTTTATTGTTAACACTTTTTGATGATCAATAGATTCAATTACATTCAAGCCAATATTTGCATTATCTTTATTATTATATATTTATATAAAGGGTGATTTTTTTTATCGAAGAACACTCATTATTTAAAAAAAGCGGGTAAGTCGTGGATGTCGCTCTGCTGTACAGTAGGT